AAACATTTCTTCATACAGAAACCTGCACACAAATATTCATAGCAGCTTTATTTGTGAGACTCCAGAACTGGAAACAACCCAAATGTCCATCAGCAGGTGAATGGATAACCAAATTGGATATCCATACCATGTAATACTACTCAGCAAAAAGGAATTCACTGGTGATACATGCAAGAACATGGATGTATCTCAGAATATCACACTGAGTGAAAGAAGCCAGGTGGAAAAGAATATATACTATATGATTTGATTTATATAATTTCTTGAAAACAAAAGCTAATTTATAGTGATGGAAAGCAGATTAATGAGTGCCTTAACCAAATTTCTGAAACCGGAGTCCTGGTCTACCTTGTCAGCCTCTGTCTTCATCCACACTGGACATGATTTTTTTCTTAACGGACACACTGGAGACATCTTTTGCTGCTGTGGGTACTCAGTCTTGCCCTAGAGCCCTTACCTAGCTCTAGGGCCCCACTAACCTCCTGATTCTCCTAATTATCACTTGCCTCCAGATTCTGTGATGCCATGTTTGCCTGCTCTTTGTTTTTTTCCATTCAAGATGGGCTCCCCTGATGTATGTCTGCTTCAAGTGTGGTGCCTTACTTTCTGATTAGCCTGGTCTAACCACTGGAATTGCCTTCCTCTTGGAATCCACATCCAAAAGATGTTCTCAGCTTCCTCTCACTCCCTGAGATTCTGTCTTCCTCAGTGATTGGACTTCTCTGGGTCTGCTCTGTTAATGCCTCTGTTGAGAACTGGCTTCAGCAACTTGCAGGGAAGCATTGAATGAGTCAGCTCAGGTAGATACAGTGATTTTATGTGGAGTTATTTTTACCCACAAAACTAGCTCCTTATCCCTTTCCTGCTTTGTGGTCTGTTTTCTAAAATCAACAAAAATTGAGGGACGCCTGGGTGGCTCAGTCAGTTAAGCGTCTGCCTTCAGCTCAGGTCATCATCCCAGGGTCCTGGGATCGACTCCCGCATCAGGCTCCTTGCTCAGCAGGGAGCCTGCTTCTCCCTCTGCCTGCCACTCCCACTGCTTGTGCTCTCTCTCTGTCTCTCTCTCTTACAAATAAAATCTTAAAAAAAAAATCAAAAATTGAGATGCTCAAGCTCACTTTCTACATGGTGATTTCTCTGGTCTTACTCTCAGGTGGAACTGACGTTCTCCCTATTTGTGCCCACAGTGCATGCTGAATATCAGATTTCTATCATAATATCTATAATAATTTTATTACTTACATATTTCTCTATCAATTACCTCCCCGTGGACCACAGGAGCCACGACTGTGTGTGTTTTTCCATTCCCAGCATCTGAGCAGGACTGCTGGGCAGTGGCAGATGTTACCTAGCTTCTTCAATGGATGAGAGCTCTATGTGGACAGTCAGTGCTTCATATAGAGTCCAAAGGTCCCATGTCATAAGTGCCAAATATATACCTGTCAAGTGCAGGACCTGTTTAATGTTTGGGCAGACGCAGTAAGGATAGGAGTTAGGCTTTGATCTAATGATAGTAACCTAGAGTGATGTAATCGTGAAAAATAAGGATCCCAGGGGGAAAAAAAATCTAAAATCTTACTGAGGAACTTTGGAAATGCTTGTGTATATTAAATCTGTTCCTATAAAGGTTCTAGGGATAATGAATGCTATACTGATGAGCATTGTGTGGTGTTTGCCTGGGAATACTACATGGAAATGTGAATGTTGGGACTTAAATTCTTCATCTATAAAACCAGGAAGTAGAATTAAATTAAACCCAAGGACACTGCTGACCCTGACTATGACTCCATGGTTGTCTCTTTGTACATAAAACCACATATATGAAGGAATGTAAACATATATCTCTTAGTATAAGGTGTTTACAAATATAGAAATGAAGGAACAATTCGATTTTTTTTTGTCCTTTAAGGTATGAAACCTTCTTTGAAGAGTTATTTTTCCAGATAGCAAGGATGCCAGGTACAGGGACAATTTTCCTATATGTAAGAAAAAAGAAAAACTTACTGACCGAAGTATTTTGCTTAGAAAACAGTCTAATTTTAATGCTGAAATGAAGTGGGCATTTTCAAAATAGGTGAAATACATTACTTTTTGCTTATTTAAGAAAAATTTCCAGTTATTTTTCTCTGTATTTTTGCCACTATCATAACTTAAGTAGTTACTTTGATAATTTTTAAATTGTTTATTGCAGAACATTTCAAGCATGCAAAAGCAGAAAGAAAAATGTAATGAGCACTCACGGGCTAATTTTGCCAACTTTGTTTTAATTATCTTCCTATTTCTTCCCCATTAGCATTTCAGTGTAACTACTTCACTGTGAACACATAGCAGTAAAGGACCAGAGCCGTAACATCATTATCACACCTAAGTAAATTAAGAACAATTTCTTGATATCATTTAATACCTAGTTTTTGTTCAGATTTGTCCACTTATCTCAAAAAATTTTTTGTAGTCAGTACAGCGTAACCAGGATCAGAATAAGGTCTGCCCATTTCATTTGGTTGACATGTCTCTAAATTTTCCCTCCCAAGAAATTAGGTCATTTAGCTGGTAGAATTTACCCCTTTCTAGACTGAGCTGATTGCCTTCTTCCTGAGTTGAGACCTCCCTGCTTCTCCCTGTGCCCCCCTGCCATCCATTTGTTGAATAAGCCAGGTCATTTTGGCTGCGGTTTATACTGCACTTAGATTTGGCCCACTGCATCCTTGGGGTCGTGGTGAACACTGTTTTTTTTTTTTTCTGGCCCTCTGACTTCCTGTAAACTGTCCAGGGGCACCTTCGAATCTGATGAAAGAAATAGTTTCTCTTTCTACCAAGATAGACGTAGATATCCACACATACGTACACGCAGGAAATATTGCATACAGTTTCAGAGGCTTCACAGATCTCTTGATGCCGCAGACCCCAGGTTGATTTGCGGTTACAGAGGCTTGATTAGGATCCTGTGGAGACATGTGCTTCTATTCCATACCATCTGGAGGCCCATGATGTCCCTTGTCCCATCGGTAGTTCTGTTAAGATTGGTGTTCTCAGCCTTATCCTTTCATTATAAAATTCCTCATCAGTGTGTCACCTAATGATTTTAGCAGCCACAGGTTACCATTGCCTAGAACAATCCTTGATTCCATCTGGGTTGGAAGGAGTAACTTCCTAATTCTATCAAGAACTTTTCCCTTGTCTATTACTAAGTTACCCTGAAATACAGTTTGTACGAGAGTAACATTTCCTTATTTGGAATATTTTTGAGTTTTTGTGGTGCTAGAAGTTGACAAACAGTGAATAGTAGAAAACAATGGTAGTTGAAACTTGTTGCATCTTTCTCTGCGCCAAAGCAAAATAACAAAAGCAAATGGCCCAGAGATTTGAAACCTTTCTTCTGAACCACTCGAATTAATACTCCCAGTCAAGAAAACTCAAAATCCATGATTTTTATTTTTACATCCTCATTTTTGCTATTTATTTTCCCCCCACTTTTGCTAAGTGAAAATGAATCTCTGTGCTGTCTTTCTTATAGAGAACATCCCAACAAAGAACACGTGGGTCTCAGTAAAGAAAATTTATTACTTAGAGGATGCACCATTAGAAACACAGAGGCTGTTGTGGGCATTGTGGTTTACGCAGGTCAGTGACACTTCTCATTTTCACTGTTGTCTCCTCTGTGTTTTTCTTCAAGTTAACATTTTCCATTTATTCAAAATGCAGTTTACAAAAGCAGAAAGGAAATTTTGTCTTGATAAACTTAATCCTTGGTCTCTGTTTTTCTAAATGGATCACAAAAGCAAACTAAATTAGCAAAATATATTATGCAACTTCTCTTTGTATCTGTCACAGAGATTTAAAAATTTGGTATTTGCTCTCTGGCTTTAATTTGCACATTTTCTGACATGTTACCTATGTAGGCCATGAAACCAAAGCAATGCTGAACAACAGTGGTCCAAGGTATAAGCGCAGCAAATTAGAAAGAAGAGCAAATACAGATGTCCTCTGGTGTGTCCTACTTTTGGTTGTGATGTGTTTAACTGGTGCATTGGGTAGGTAAAATATGATTTTTTTATACTGACATCTTTTCATCAAGATCTCTATTTAAAAGTATTTAATTTTTGAAATATTTATGAATATTTGACTTCTGCAAAGGAGATTATTTGCCAATAATTTTTTCCATCAGATCTTTATCTTTCTCATTCTGTGATCTGAAAGGCATTAATGTTGATTATATCCAGCTACATGTGGCCACAGTAGGAAAGGGACCTGGGAAGAGATTTAAAGAGAGACTGAGACAGGAGAATGTGGAGCCTTTTTGCATTTCAGTTTGTTTTCAAAAATAAACAATTGGTGTTCAACCAAAATAAATACTTTTATTCCTCTTTAGGAATGAAATTCTATATTTACATAATACATATGTAGCATCCTTTTCATGTCTGTGTGTTTTTTGAAAGGTCATGGAATCTGGTTGAGTAGATATGAAAACATAATGTTTTTTAATATCCCTGAGCCTGATGGACATGTCATATCACCAGTGTTGGCAGGATTCTATATGTTTTGGACCATGATCATTTTGTTACAGGTAATTTCTGTTGAGCTCATCATAGAATTTTAAGATCTTTGTTACTTACCCAAGTATATTTGGTTTCTCAAACTTTCTTTCCTCTCTCTAACATTTTTTAAATTACTTGGTTCCCCTTAGGTCTTGATTCCCATTTCTCTCTACGTTTCCATTGAAATTGTGAAGCTCGGACAGATATATTTTATACAAAGTGATGTGGATTTCTACAATGAGAAGATGGATTCCACTGTTCAGTGCCGAGCCCTGAACATCACCGAGGATCTTGGACAGATTCAGTACCTCTTTTCTGATAAGACAGGAACTCTCACTGAGAATAAGATGGTTTTCCGAAGATGTAGTGTGGCAGGGTTTGATTACTGCCATGAAGAAAATGGTGAGTGTTGGGTTTCTATGAAAACCAACCCTAAGATTGGTCTTTTTTGGCACCCAGTTAAAGGTCTGATAATTCTAGCATACAGGTGCTATATTTAAGCATTAGGTACTTAACTCATCAAAAGAGGCATTAAGCGTCATTGTTGTTCTTCCAAAAGTTAGTAGGTCAAGGTCAAGGAGTCTACTGCCATAGTTTCTTTAAAAGGAAAGTAAATTACTACTAGTAGTAGAAGGTTGGAGATGAGGTACAGTGAGAATACAGTATTATAGATAGTTGTGAGAATCTAATGAAACTATGACCATCTCCCTAAGAAATATTTTGAATCTAATGAATCTAATGAAACTCTGGACCATCTCCCTAAGAAATATTTTGAATCTAATGAATCTAATGAAATTATGGACCATCTCCCTAAGAAATATTTTGAAAATAATTCCAAAGGGAGGGGCTACAGCCCCCCCTTTAACCCATCACATCATCGTTTAGCCCATAGATACCATCAATTCTTGGTTAAGAACACCTAGAAATATGATGAGCTAAACATCTGAAGCTAAGGAAGTAAATATACAAATTGCAAGTTTTCTTTAAAGAATTGAACTACATTAATTTTGTTATTTACAAAAGTAATGTACACTCCTATGAAAATGTTTCTGAGAAGTATCCATAACTAATTAAAAACCTTACTCTCTAGAGGTTAACCACCATTAACAATTTGATGAATATATAACTCTCCCTATTCTTTTATATGTGAACATATATATTTGCACATTTTCCCTTTTATAAGTTAGAACATGTTATAATTTTTTTTTTTTTTTTGCAGTTTTCTTCTTTTATTCAACAATATCTCATGGACTTTTTTTCTGAGTCCGCTCATAACATTAAGTGCATAGTATTGCATTGTATGTGGTCAAGCTTACTTTGCTATTGTAACAATACTTGCAATGAACTTACTCAGTTATCACTTACTCATTCAACATAAATTTTGTGAGCCCCGAATATGTGGCAAAAGTCCCTTGATCTCATGTAGCTTTTAGAGTCTGAGGCAAGGAGATAGTATTAAAGATTATGATATGTAAAAGAAAATTCATCATGTAATATGCATTTTTGTACATACATGTTTGTACATATCTTATTTTTATAAGATACATTTCTAGAAGTGGTATTGGCTCCAGAGGTATGCACATATAAAATTATTATAGATCCTACAAAATTTATATCTAAAATATTGTGCTAATTTACATTCCCACCACCCAGAAAAACAATACCCATTTTTCACACCAGCCATAATGGGATGAAGTTATTCTTTTTAATCTCTGTGATATTTGTAGACTCAGCACTTCATTGTCTTAATTTGTCTCTGATGAGCAGTGAGATGCTTAACTTTTTATATGTTTATTGGCTTTTTGAATTTCCTTGGTAAAGTGATCATTTCCTTTTCCTATTTTCCAAATGAGCTTCTCTTCGTCATCTGTAGGAAGATTTTATCTATTAAGGCAGGACTGGCGTTCAGCTCGTTGTTCAGTCTAGGTTGTCTGTGGCCACTGTGCATTTTCATTTGTGCACTTGTATTGAACTAAATGTTAAATAATTTGACGCTGTGATACTATCCTTCTGTATGTGACGAGTATTTTCCTGGTTCATCATTTATCACTGTATTAGTTTTCTATTGTCACATAACAAATTACGACAGATTTAGTGGCTTTAAACAACACAGATATACCGTATCATAGCTTTTGTGGGGCTAGAGCCTGGGTGTGGGATGGCGACATCCTCCCTTAAGGGTCTGTCACCAAGCTGAAATGTAGGTGTCAGATGGGACTGTGGTCTTATCCGAGGCTCAGGGTCCTCTTCATAGTTCCCTTGTCTTTGGCAGAATTCAGAGGCTTAAGGTTGTAGGACTGAAGTCCCTGCTGTCGTGCTAGCTGTCAGTCTGGGACCGTTCTGAGCTTCTCGAGGTGGCCCACCGTTTCTTACCACATGGCCTCTCCATAGCCTCACAGTTTGCTTCTTCAAGGCCAGCAGCAGAATCTCTAGCTTTGAATTTCTCTGACCTCAAGGAAAGTACTGTGACCCTTCTTTTTACCTGATGAGGTCAGATCTACCTAGGATAGTCTTCTTTTAGATTAATTCAGATTGAGCTGGTTAGCTGCTTGATTACATCTGCAAAATCCTTCCACATTTCCATATAACATAATTTAATCACAGAAGTGAAACCCCATTGTACCCAGAAGGTGTATACATCAGGGGGACCGGAAATTTGGGGGCCATCTTAGAATTCTGTCTAGCACGGTCTCTTAGGGTGTTTCTACTTGTCAGAATTTTTATATGTTTATTAAATCTTGTCAGTTGTTATGAATATTAATAAGATTATGAATATTATAATTTCTGTCAGTAGTGTTAAACCCAGGCCAAAATTTTAAAAAATGTAACTGTATTTTCTCCTAGGCACACATACATACATACATACATATGTATATATATATATATTTTTTTTTTTTTAAAGATTTTAT